TTTGTATCCCCCCCTCCCCCCATCTCCTCCCAGCTCTCTCCTGCTAATGAGAGCAGCGTATCGATCCGCTCTTTGAGACTCTAGGCAGGTATAGTATGTCCTCTCTAAAGTGTGCATTTCCAGCGCCAAGTTCTGGCCCTCACCAGCCCTGGAGACCCTACAGACAGAGGAGAGGGTTCAAGCACCAGGCAGTGATGAATGAGGCGGGCACTCATGATGGTTTGGTGGAAAATAATGGAGGGAGGAAAGAGTGGATGAGGCGTTTGGTTAGGTGGAAGGAAACTCGAGATTATTGTCCAGCGAGTAGTTTGAATGCAATTTGTGCATTTATATGTGTTTAGTCAGTGTATTGCTATTTGTAGTCCATTTTACTACAGCAGTTACTATACAGAGTTAAACATTCAATTCAGTAAGAAACAGTCAAGTATAAGCCATAATGGAGCCAGACTGAATGCTTCTTTTTAAAAAAAAAAAATAGCTAAATGGCATAATTTCACAGGAAGAGCAAGATATTGCATTTTTGGTAAAGGATTATTAAAACCTTTTTTTTTTTTTTTTTTCCTGTGGAATGTTGAGCATCCATTAATAAATTAAACAGAGTTGGGTGATATTGGATATTTAGTTGTGCTTGCTTATTTCCACTATTTTTATTTTCAGATGAACTTTGCCATCTTCCAAAACACACTTGCATGTAATCCTCTAAACCACAATAAAATGTAATGACGCTGTGGAATGTAATATTGCAAATCTTAAAAACAATATGCAGTATATTTTCAACTTTATAATATTGTGTTCGCCAGTCAATTTTTTTCAGACAAAATAGAGTAAATGAGATTAAATTAATCAATTAATTTAATATAAATGAATAATACATTAATCTATAATATTGAAAAGCTTAAAAAATGATACATATATTAATAATAATAACAAAATAATTATTTATATTGGCCAATTTAATTAACTAATAATCTTAGTAATTATTCTTTTTTTAAATTTTTAACACTTGATTTAAGGTTCCATCAAAATCATGGTACCTTTGTATATCAAAACTATCATGGAATTGCTTTACTGTCACTTAGTTTGTGCCGCCACAGTAGTTTTTGTAAAGGCATTTTTTTTTTTTTTTTTTGGCATTTCCTGCCCGTTCTTCATTCGTCAGAACGCACTCTTTCAGCATGTGGTCTCAAGTGTTGGATAACCAGCGACTGGCATGACTCCAGCTTCAGTCTGACCTGCAGTGGCGCGCTGACCCAGGAGGCGAAGAGCGTTCTAAATGAGGTCTCGCTCTAATTTGTCATCCCTCCATTTTTGTATTATGTTTAGCAGGCACCATGTGGACAGATGATCTGGAGGAGAGGGAATGTGCGGCGGTTTTCCGTGGGTTCACATCTGGGAGCGATTGCGTTCGCGTACGCACATTGTTCATGTGGAATTGTTCTCGCAAAACCTGAAATACAGTACATGGTCTCGTTTCTGTTTCTCTAAATATACTCATGATTCCGCAATTTTCGCCCGAATGACATTTCGTTTTGTACGCGATACTGGATTGGACAGATGGTGGAAGTTACGGATTGGTGGAAGTTAAACAGTTCCTTATGGTTTTTGAAACCTACAAATCTGAATTCCTAGCTAGTTAGATCTAGTTTGGTGAACACATTGCTGGTTAAGCTAGTGAAGAGCCAGGATCACAATTATTGTGATCTTTTTGGCTTAAAAGTGCAACTAATCCTAAACTAGATGAGGTTAGCACACCAACATACAAAACAACACCATATTCTGGGCTTTTCAGCATGATAATGTTTAGGAAACTTCTCAGCAGATAGACATGGGATTATAATACATATTTATTCTACTGCAACTGCTGTATTTTGGTTGTTCTCCATGGTTTCTCTTCAAGACCCACAATCCTGCTCCTGACAAATCTCCCTGCGTCTTTGCCAGCTCTGAGTTTTTGAAGTGCTTTTTTTAGCAAATCTCCAGTTCCCCAATGGCTCCAGTAGAACACTTCCAGCCTCCAGTGGTGGCTCAGCAAAATCCATTTCATTTCCGCCCAGCAGAGTCTCTTACTATCATCCCTCTGTAGCCCGTGTGTGGTATTAAATATTCATTTCGTTAATGTCGGTATAGGCATATCAATGCAAATCTCACTTTAATTTGACGTTACCGCATCTGTTTCTAATTTCTGTGAAGCATAAAGTTCTGGAGTGCTTGCGTTGCCAGGTTTAGATGCAAAGAGAGTAGTTTCTGTACAGATTTGAAACTTTTTACACATAGATGAATTTGGTCCAAAAACAAAATGGCCTATATTTAGTAATATTTAGTAAAATTACTTGGTTATTTATTTATTTGTCCTTTTCATTCAATGCCAATTTTGATCACGAGGTTTAAAGGCATAATTCTCAATGCAAATTACATTGTCATATTGTGTATTCACCTTCATGTCATTGTAAACCAATATGACTCTTTCTTCTGAGATAGATAGATAACGTTTCATACAATTACACTGAATATGGACTGATGCATTCAAACAGAATGCAAAAGCAGAATAAAAGTTTGTGAGAATAAAAAAGAATAAAAAAATAAAATAAAAACTGAATAAAAAAATGTGTGTTTCATAGAAGAAAGCAGGTTAAATTACTTTTTTGGGTGAACTGTCACTTTAAAGAGACGGGCTTGCAGGTTTCTCTCTCTTACTGTCACTCTTTCTGTCTCACTTCAGTGGTTTATATCATTTCCAGGACTCTATTCCCATTTTGTAGACATATTCAGAACTTGACATATATACACACACACATAACGTTCCCCACAAGGCCCTGTTAGAAAGCAAGCATGCTATCAGGTTTCTCAGCTCAGAGTGCAAATCAAGCGTGAGTTGGTTTCACACAACTCTGCAAACTCAATCCAAGTTTGTTGGTCCGCTGCGAAACTCCAAATCCCTTAGCTGATCCACGGAGAGCGAACACAGTTCACATTAGACACTGACCCTCATCTCTCTCCACCGGCCAGTGATCTTCTGGTGCGCATGTGTGTCTTTCCTCCATAGACTGCCTAATTAAGCCGGTCGAGGAAAACGAGATGCCTGTTGAAATCCTTGGCTGGAAGGAATGATGTGCTTGAGAGATTGTTACAGAGAAATGATGGAAAAAGAGAGCAAGAGAGGATGAGAAAAAAATTATTTCCATTTCTTTCAGCGAATCACCTCCACTTGGACATTTTTCAGTGAGGTAAAGGAGGACTTTTACCTGCTGTGGCATTACAAGCGGTAGAAACTGGAATCATATGGCCAATTAAGTGCTTAAAGTCTTAAAGGAATTTGGAGGCAGTCAGGAGTTCAGGTTACCTTGAGCATCTCACTTTGATCTAGAGCTGAGGGTAATCGTGCCGACAGGAACACGTTCAGGGGCGTGAGAACCCAAAGAAGTTTCCATTTCTGTCAACTTGCATGTACTTTTATACTAAATTCTCCCCTTTTTGTATTAAAAAGGGAATAATTACTGATATGTGCTTTATAATATTTATTCTTTAAAAAAAAATTATATATATAATTTTGTATACTATATATATATATATATATATATATATATATGGATCAAATAATATATATTTTAAATGTTTTATATATATATATATATATATATATATATATATGAAGAGTTCAGATGCAAAAGCCTCTAAATGCCATTTGAAATTTTCTTCCTTAATGATGATTTTTGTCGAACTTGTATATTTAAGTTCAGTAATTTCACTTAAATAACAATTAATAGGTAATTATCATTGCCATTTAAGTGAAATCACTGAACTTAAATATACAAGTTTGATAAAAATCATCATTAAAGAAGAAAATTTCAAATGGCATTTAGAGGCTTTTGCATCTGAACTCTTCATATATATATATATATATATATATATATATATATATATATATATATATATATATCATTTAAAAATATGAAAATATTATACACACATTCACCATGGTAATATTTTAACATATAATATTAATAAACATAATATTAACAATAGTACACTCTAAATGCTGGGTTGTTTTAACCCAATTTTTGGTCAAATATGGACAAACCCAATTGTTGGATTAATTATTATTATTATTTTTTTTATAAAAAGGGAAGTATTTAGTATAAATGTGGGTTCTCACGCCCCTGAACGTGTTCCTGTCATGTACATATCAAATGTAATAATATTTCACAATAGTACTATGTTTACTGTTTATTTGATTAAATAAATGGAGCCTTGGTGAGCAACAGATACTGCTTTCACATATATATATATATATATATATATATATATATATATATATATATATAGAACAAGGTGAACATTAACATTTTTTTTTGTAATAATGACAATAAGATTTGTAATAAGATCAGAAACGTCCTTTGCAAAAGCAAATATGGTTTCACATTGAATATAAAATACTTTCTAGGTTGGCAGCTCACTGGGTTTTGGAAAATATCTGGAGTCAAGTTGCTGTGTTTTTCCACATGTGTTTTGCCCATGTCATGTGTATATAATTTAAAACATTGGACTAATCTAATGTGCTGCTGTACACTATCTACATGGCACTGTGAAAGGCATGCTGTCTCGGATTAATGGGAATGCTTTAAGCAAATCCGTCAGAAGGGTAACAGGGTCGACTAACATGCTTAGACTCTGTGTTTTTTGGGTTCAGACGTCATTGCACACTTCAGCAGTGGTCTAGATGAATGTTCAATCTTGTGTCCCACATTTCCAGGCAGGAAGAGCACTTATATATTCCAAACCCTCTTTTGTGCCTTTTTAGCTAATGTAAACAGAAGTTTTAGGTTTAATCTTTGTATGTTTGAAGTGGATTAGAGGTGGTTTGCACTTGGAAAGAGTAGAAAAATGATCCTCGCATGGTTTCTAATTTGTTATTCCTCTTCTTTAAATGTTAGCGTGTGTAGTTTCCTGATTGAAATGATGTTCGTGTTTCTAATGTCCCTGTTTTTCTCTCTTTTCATCAGTTCTTCGAGATGATTTCCGTCAGAACCCCGTGGACGTGATGGTGGCGGCGGGCGAGCCAGCGGTCATGGAGTGCCAGCCGCCCCGTGGACACCCAGAACCCACCATCTCCTGGAAGAAAGATGGAGTCACCATCGACGACAGAGATGAGCGGATAACGGTAAGCATATCTGACACTGTTTCCTGTTGAAAACACCAGCCAGTTAGTCAGTGGCGGCTGGTGAAAAATATTGGAGGGGGGGCTGAATAAGAGGGGGGTCTGGGGGTCCCCCCCAAAAAAATTTTGAATTTAGTAGATGTGATTTCCTGCATTCTGGTGCATTTTAGGCCTAAGGCCCACTAGGGGGCCTTAGCAAACTTACATGGGTCAATAAGTCTTAAAATAATTTAGATTTAGTTATATTAACATAATCTTAACTTAACTCTGTTCATTATACCATCAATTACCATTCACTAGTTTTCAACAATATAAATGAAGAAAAAAATACTGTTTTGCCCTTACCTATAGCCTACCAATAAAATAACTTAAACCAGTCAATACCAATGGTCAAATAATAGAATAATAATAATAACAGTTTGACAGTTAATGATAATGAACAAGTTGCATGTTTATTATGCTCTGTGTGCTGACAGAAAAAGTGAAAACGCATAATATTGATAAATTATAATATAGTTAATACAAAAAATAATAGGTAATACAACAATCTAGTTTAATCAATCCCCAGCTGTAGACTACATATTTTTGACAAATTGACAATTGGATAATGGATAACAATGTGTTGATACTAGAGAAAGAGAGAGAGAAAAGGCTCTGAAAGAGAGGGTGGGACAAGGGTAACACCCAAGTATGAGAATAAAGTTGATTTTAACTAGTATGAAACACAGTAATCCAGCTCAGAACTTAAAAACATCAAAAACAAAGCAAACACACAGGTATTAATATTCCTATAACTATTTTAATATCAAATGTGTGTGAAACAGTGTTTATGTGTGTGTGAGTGAGTGAGTGAGTGACAGAGACAGACAGGTCAATTCCCACGACTTACTTTACATTATTTCCACTCGACGTCACTGGCGCTGCCATTCTGCTCTCATCTGAGGTAAAAAATGTCCCGTGATGCGCGTGCACGGTGCACTCCCCTAATCTGATACTGTGGGCGATATTTTCAGCGCCCCTAAACCATAAAATTTGACGACGCTGATTGGCGAAATATAAACTTTTTTGCATAGCAACCGGGGAACCATTGGCTTAAATTCCAGCACTGTGGGGCTGAGCGAACTGGCGCCCTGAGAAGACAGCCTATTGGCTATACTACTACACCAACATGATAAAAGTAACGAAAGTGAATGCAAATATCATTCTGGTGAGTTCAAAACACTTTTCAAAGTAAAACCATTATTAGCATATAATTAACACAGATTATTTTTCGAAATGATAAATTTTAATATATATTAAAAAAAACAGACAGACAGGTCGGAGGGAGGGCGGCGCCCCAGCGCCCTCTATGGGCGAGCCGCCCCTGCAGTTAGTGCTGGTTCATCTTACAGTAAGTGTCCTGTTAATAACCCTCTGTTGATCCGACGAATTACAAAAATGCGCAAGTATAATGTGTAGTTTTCATGAAAGCTCTGGAGCTGTCAGAGAAAGGTCAAAACACATCATACGGTGGACTTTTGCTAAGAAATAAACATGAATTTCTACATAAACATATACAAAGGTTGAATATCGGCAAAGTTACATTTTAACCTCGGTTGACGGGATTTGTGGGATAATACGAATAACTGTCTGAAACAGTAGTCCCACTTAAATGGATGACTGTAACAAATTTACTGCTCAAATAACACATTTTTTTTTTTATGGATGACTTACTGTTGCTGTATTCAATAAAAAAATATGAGCTTCAAATCCTGCCTTTTGCAAATTAAACCAGGTCCCTTCCTAATTTTCATTTTAGAGCTACTAACGAAGACCTGCTGATTTGTTAATAAAAAAGACAGCAAAATGAAGTTCCCTTATTTAATTCATGTGGATAACAATTGCTTCTGCTGCATTTTTCCAGCAAATGAAGGCCGATTAGGGCTTCTGCTGATGAGTGTTTAAACTGCGTCGCGGCCAACACTGTCAGGGAAAATTAATGGAGCCCGTACATCTGATTGGAAGGGCATGTGGGAATGAAAGTTTGCCTTCGCCAGCGTTCACGAGCCGAAAACTCTCTCTATCTCTCTCTCTCTCTCTCTCTCTCTCTTTCTCTCTCTGTGCTGATTTAATGCAGTCTTTAAACCAGAGCCACCAATTAGGTTTTTCTAATTAAATGTGTGGGAAATTAAGTAACAGGATCAATCAGGCCTCTTTTGTCGTTAAAAGAGTGACTTTGATGTGCACGCCGCTGCTCGTTTTCCACGTGGCTTATTTGTGTAGAATAAGGCTAAAGGTGGTTTGGGGGGATTTGTTATTTTTAATCAAACCGTTTTTTTTGAGAGTACTATTTTACTGCTTAGCGCTGACTGAAAAGGCAATGAAGGAATGTGTCACGCATTCCAAAGTTACGACAACGTGTAACTATGATGTTGTTGCGATTGAGCTTATTAGAATGAAGCTTAATCAAACCAGATCAAGTTTGTTGTTGATGTTAGTGGTGGTGGTGTATGTGTGTGTAGCTTATCTCTAGTCTGCAGTCTACAATTATGTAGACATTAAACTGTATGGTCATCTTAAACACACACACACACACACATATGTTGGTGCTCCTATCATTATGAGGACGTTTCAAAGGCGTAATGGTTGCCCCCACATATATTATGTAAACACAAACTTTTATTTTGGATGCGATTAATCGCGATTAATCGTTTGACAGCCCCAGTATACTGAACTAATGACATTTTCGAGCTCCTAAACCTAAACAGAAAACATTCTGCATTTTTACATTTTTAATGAAAAACCATTTAGTTTATTTAGCTATTTGAATTATGAGGACATCGACATGTACTCAGGGGACATGGCCTGAAATCTGAATACACACCACATTTTAAGGCTCCTCATAATGTTGGTCAAACACACACAATTTAATATTGGCCATATGTATGTATAGATAGATATGATGTTGTACCATCTTAAATTATGTAAATAAAAATATGCTTAGAAAAATTAAAGGAAGCACAAAATTGT